TCATCATTTAGAAAGCCCCTGCGGGACTTCTGTGCTTCTCAGAAGAATGTGCAATAGAGTATATCACCCAAAATAATTATCTGAAACCACCATCTTACCTGAGGCTATATGTCCGTATATGCTCACTTGGAGACTGCATCTAATTTAGACCTGAAGGCAGATATACTTGAATAATACTTAAAGCAACAATACCGGATTGAAGTTACATTGGAACTAATTTATTAGTTAAAAAGGGCATCAACTCAAGACCTACAGTGTCTTCTGCACTCTTGACACAATAAGCTTTTTCTTTTCTCTCAGCAGTTGAAAATGATACTCTACAGTGACATAAAAACAACACCATCAGAGATAAAAGCTACCAAGCCAAGGGAACGTTTAATTTGCTTTCTCATGGAGCCTATGAAGGTGGCTTGGCCCTTATTCTGGTCCAAATAACAAACTTGCTCTGCAGTTAAAATGTGAAAAAATGCGTGTGAATAAGAAAAGACATGTGCCATATAGTTAGGAAATATAAGTCTTTACTTATATTTCTTTTTAATTTAAACTAACCAGAGAAACATCATGTACAATATATATACTATGTACATTATGATCACAGAATTACAGAATTGCGGGGGTTGGAAGAGACCCCCTACTGACCTAGGTTCCCTAGAGTAGATTGCACAGAAGGTGTCCAAGAAGCTTATGAATATCCAGTCTCTCTGGACAGCTTGTTCCAATGTTCTGTCACCTTTACAATAAAGAAGTTTTTCTTCATGTTCAGATGGAACTTGCTTTGTTCCAATATGTGCCGATGTATTGACCCTTGTTCTGTCACTTGGCACCACCAAAAAGAGCCTGGGACCATCCCATTGACTCCTGTCCATTAGATTTTTATTAGCATTGACAAGATTCCTCCTCAGTCTTCTCCAGATTGAACATATTCAGTTCTCTCAGCTTTTCCTCATAACAGAGGTACTCCAAATCCCTTTGTGGCCCTCTGCTGGACAAAGTACTCCAGATCTGACTTCACCAGGGCAGAGTAGAGGGGAAGATCACCTCCCTTGACCTACTGGCCACACTCTTTAATGCACCCCAGTATGCGATTGGCCTTCTTGGCCACAAGGGCACACTGCTGACTCATGGATAACCTACTGTCCACCTGGACACCCAGGTCCTTTTCTGCAGAGCTTCTCCCAGCAAGTCATACCCCGATCTGTACTGATTTGTGTGGTTATTCCTCCCCAGGTGTAAGATTTTTCTTTGGAGCAAGCAGGTCTCTGATCATCCTCTCACCTCTCACCATGACCTATAGAGGTCATGGGAGAAACACGGTATTTCTTCAGAATAATTCCTGCTCACACTGTCTCTGCCCCATGTGGAAAAGAGCTAACTTGAAGATACATTTAAATGGATAAAAACTTTTGAGGTGTTTACAGTAGAGAAGATTTAGTGACTGAGTTGCCACAACCGAAAACATAATTTGCAGTTTTTACACTAATCTGAAAACCTTCTTGGTTCCTGCGTGAAGGAATTCACAAACTTATCATTGTGAAACAGATTCCTGTGCCTAATACTGACCTGTTCCTGTCTTGCTGTATGTGAAGAAAAAGTGCTATACCCTTAAAGGCATAATATCACTTCAAGAAAGTGCATGAACTTTATGGTAAGTACTTTAAAGTCCCTTTCTCACAGATTTTCAGTGCATGTTGTACTTCATGGATCAGAAATCTTGGAAAGAACCACACAGCTCATGAATTCCACTTCCCTGAAGCAATATCCATGGAGTAGCCATTACACAACACTGGTTACACCAAGCATACCGGTAGGAAATTGAGAGTTGTATGAGGAGATGAGCAGCCAATGATGATGACCCACACAAAAGCAAGCAAGTGCTGCCAATGCTTTAGATTTGTACTTGAAAGAAATGTTTTAAACAAAACACCTTGTCATGTACTTGTAGGCCTTATATGTATAAGCCTGTGCTTTGGAACCCTACCTCATAAGACATACTTAGACAGGACTCTAATGTACATTCATGCAGTTCCTTTGCCTAAAACTGGATTGGAAGGGCATCATCATTACCAGTGAACTGTATAACACTATATATAGCTATGGGAATTTATAGGTTCAATTTTTCACTTCAATTACATAGACAAAAACAATTTCTGGCTAACACTGCCAAAAGCTGCTGTAAATAACATCACACTTTTGAATGGCAAGACTCTATGGAAGATGGGAACTAACATTAATTGATAATTTGTTATAAAATATAAAAGATCTGATGTAGATTCATAATACAGTCCAAATTATTCTTTCTTACGTGAGGTACTGAGTACAGCTTCTATCAGGCATATAGTAAGTGATAATCTTTTTCAAATGTCCATTTTTTTTTTCAAACAGCTTTTGATAACTGACTACAATTCAGCCCTCATTATATCATTAATATACTCTATTTACATTTAAAAGAAAATCTACCTATGCTAATAAAGTTTATCTATACATCTATAAAAGGCTTTCTTATCCCCTTACCATATCTTGACTACTGACATAAAATAATGTTTTTCTCAGAATGCAAGGCTCTCAGAATATAGAGCTGTCTTCTCTCGTCTGTAAATTATACAATCTGTAAATTATCAAGTAGTTTCACAATAGTGTGTCCACCTGCTACTTCCTTCCATTCAAAAACACAATTTTCACATAAATTATTCTTCCTGTTCATAACTCCAAGCAAATTTTATCTATCAGCTCCTCACTATTTTGAGGCAACTGTTAATGTCTATTACCAAAAAAAAGAAGTCATAGAAGAAGTTTGCCTAACAAGGAGTATCACTTTTACAAAATCATTTCCTTTGTCAAAAATACCAATGACAACTATATTTCTTACACAGACAATATAGGAGAGGCCTGGAACAGTTAAAAAATAAAATTTCACCTGGCTTGTTACATTCCTTGATATATCAGGAATTTAAGAATGAAATATGCCATCACAAAACATTTTAATATTGTACATATTTAACTTAGTATTGGATAACATTTCCATTATTATTAAAGACTTTGCATAGTCCAAGTAATTGAGAATCCCTTGATTTCCTTTACACCAAGTCCACCCGTCTTTTGTTCAAAGCACAAAAGTACTTTGAGTACAGCAAGGACATCTTCTTCCACAAAGCACTTGGAACATTATAGAGTCCACAAGAAAAACTAAAAGAGACTAACAACAGTAGTCATAGTAATAACAGATTTACTGCCTTAGGAAAACACAGTTTAAAAAATCTGGTCAGACCAGTGTGCAAGGAGCTGTAAATAATGCACTGATGGCATTACATGGCCTATTGCTCGGAGACTACAGCTCCAGGAAACATCTTCTAATAATGCCATCTCACAGACTGACTTTGCAGCCTTGCTTTTCTCACTTAGGTTCTTTTATTTCACTCATATATATAACTTCTCCTAAAAAAGTAGTAATCGCCCCTGATATGTAATTGGATTTCTTTAATTTGTTTGTTTTTTTTGTTTGTTTGTTTAATCCCAAAACACAGGGGTTATAAAATTTAAAATTACTGTTTGGCAACTGTGACAAAATACCTAACACAAATACCTCAATTTCTACAAATAATCAGAAATAAAAATTTCCACAGCCTGAGAAATTGAAAATGAATAAGCCACGTCCATTCTTTATGACTTGTTACAGCCAAAGTACTTGCTTCACGTCACTTTTTCCTGGCATAACCATTATATATATGAGTTTGATTTCAGTAATATATCTCAGAGGTCTAGTGAAGTACATCCATATGTAATATTGTCCATAATTACTAAACATGTGATAGATGGGGCTAGTACTACACTCCAGCTGATTTCATCATTGCCAGCCTCCATATCTAAATTCTAATAGTTTTCTAAGATGGCAGTTTTCAATACTGTCATAGTTTCAGCTGGGATGAAATTGTTTACTTCAGAGTTTCTGGTATGATGTTATGTTTTTGGTTCTAGGTGAAAAACACTAATGTTTATAGTTGCTGCTAAGTAATGTTGTACAGAGCCAAGGCCGTTTTGCAGTAAGGGTCCAAGGAGCTGGAAGGAAACAGAATTAGGACAACTGACTTAAACAGGCCAAAGGGATATTCCATGCCATATGACATCATGCAGTATGAATTCTGAGGGGGGTGGGGATTATCTTTCTCTCTTCTACTGCTCAGGAGGTAAGGTGGGCATTGGCCAGGAGATGGTAAGAATTGCTTGCGCATTACTTGTTAAATACATTCATATATATTTATATAATTAGTCATAACTGTTATCCTTTTCATTTTCTCTATCTTAGTAAATAGTTTTATCTCAAGCCACAAGTTCTACTTTTTTTTCCCTTGATTCTTTTCCCTTTCCCACTGGGAAAGGGAAGACCGAGCAAATGACTGTGTGATGCTGAGCCACCTGCTGGGTTAAACCACAACAAAAAGAAAAGACAGAAATACCCAATATTCATAACAAAGCACTAGAAAACGAAAATGTCATACTTTTTTTAAGTTTGAAATTCAAAGGAACAGTATCTACAACATCATGTGGGAGTAACTTCAACCTGAGATTTTTGTAGTAAACTTACCTAAATCAGTAACTACATTACAGTTTGATTTGGTACAATTTCAAGGCCTAACAAAAGTCGTTCTTTTGCTTCTATCTAAAATCTGGCACACCAGTAGGCTAGATGTTATTTTAGATTAATTAAAGGCAAAACAGCCACACCTATGAGTCATAGTCTTCCTATATCACATTTTATTTACTCACAGAGCTTAAGAGAAAACACTTATATTTTCTTCACCTTATTAATCATGTTCACTGTAATGAGTTCACACAAAAAACTAATATCTAGGTAGCACATAATACTTCTAAAATTCTGCCAGAGCCAGCATACTAAAAATATACTTAGAAGGAACAATGGTAAAACAAACTTACTAATCTCCAAGGTAACAACAGCAGATAATGCAGAAAGGATAACAGTATTTGAACATAAGTATTGCACTTACCGAGTGGCTGCCCTGCGATGATCCTGGCATTCTCTCCTGCCACTGCAGCCCTGGCATGTCTCTCACTCATGTACTGTACAAACGCGTAACCTTTGTGCACAGAGCAGCCAACTATTTTCCCATACTTTGCAAAGATTGCTTCGATGTCACCTTTTTTGACAATGGCTGTGTTCAGATTGCCGATGAAGACTCTAGAGTTGATGGACTTTGGGTCATTCTTATTGGTGACATTGCTGGTCTGTGTTTTGCCGGTCATGGCTGGATCACTTGGCTTTAAACCTTAAGGAGAGAACAAAGAGAATTATGTTTCATAACATGCAGTTACTCCTGGTTTGTTGATTTTTCCAGAAATTACTTTTTCATTTTCCACTTAAGGTGCATCTAGACTTAGAAGAGTCATATATTCTAAAAAATGATTATCAACAAAACCTAAGCAGTACATATTTGATAGTAAGCCAAATTATAACTTCTCATCTTACAGATATAATATATACCAATAAATTTCTTAACTTAAAGCTCTGATAGTGGAGCTCTGCTTAATCATATGTGGATTTGTGCTTGGAAATTCAATATTGACTTTTTAAGTATCTAGAAATAGCAAAGCAAGTGAATGAGTCATAATCTTACATCAAATAAATTAACATCCAAAGCCACGTGCAAAAGCAAAGTTAAACAATGAATGATTACTCTGCTTTTGCTTGGTAAGTGTGAGCCAGACCACATTTCTCACCAGTTTCCATCATTGACTATTGTAAGAAGTGTAGGACAAGTAACATACAGTTCTTTACTGCAATTAATAAGTTTCTATCAAAACAATTTTCTCTATTAATACAATGCAAAAAAAAAAAAAAAAAGGAAAAAGGAAAAGGAAAAAGAAAAAAAAAAGAAAAAGAAAAAGAAAAAGAAAAAGAAAAAGAAAAAGAAAAAGGAAAAGGAAAAGGAAAAGGAAAAGAAAAAGAAAAAGAAAAAGAAAAAGAAAAAGAAAAAGAAAAAGAAAAAGAAAAAGGAAAAGAAAAAAAGACAGGGTAAGCACAATCAGTTTAGACTCCTGAAATAAAATAAAATAAAATAAAATAAAATAAAATAAAATAAAATAAAATAAAATAAATAATAATTAAAAAAAAAAGAAAACAAACTTCCTCAATTACATGAACACAGTTTTGGTTGCTGTTTTACTTTTCTTCCTGGGGTAACAAAACCATCTGAATCCTAACATTTCCCTAATGGAAACAGCCACATTATTCTTGGGGATTTCTTTTCAAAATAAGAAAGAACACTTTTTGTGTTCATCTAGCCTCACTCTTTTGAAGTGCATTTGATTTTTTTAGTATGTATATAAATTCCACTTGCCAGTAGGTCATTCCATTTACATTGATTTACTTAGAAGTGAAATGAAAGATATTACCCCATGCTCTGCTGTTTTTTTTTTTAGTTAAATTTGATAACAGACATGTCAAAAATATGCACTCCTTGTAAGAGTGAAAACTTCTTTTGTTAGAAGGAGACCATTTAAACAGAAGTTTAGACCAGCTCTAACAGCTAAGATTTATGTTACTATTTTTTAATCTGTTCTTACTTTTGACCATATCACAGTAACAGTTCAGGCAAGAAGAGAGTCCTGTTAAATACTGCTCAGACTTAAAACTCGGTTCTTTTCTCAAGATGAAAAGGAAAAATGAACTCTATCTGGACACCCAAAGCTTGACATTAACCAGCAGAAATGTCATATTTAAAATCAATAGCTGCCATACATTAAGCCAGACTGAAGGAAAAAGAAACCACTGTTACTGAACTCCACACAATTTCTAGTGAACAAACCATCTGTAGCCGTAGCTATCAGTACTTCAGTTGTCTCCATCACACATGATTGAAACCCCACCCTTCTGGATAAGAACACACTATGGATATATATAGGCAATTCTCCAGAGTTCTAGAAAAGGCTTTTTGAAAGGAGAACATGCAACAGAGACTATTAGTCAAATAGCATTTATTTTCTTAAACTATTAATGCAATATCTTTATATTAGAACATTCACAGAAAACACTGTATAACCAAAATAAGTTTTCTTGTAAATTTTACAATTTTAAATACATTCTGGAAACACAAGATACTGCATATTGCACAAACTTCAACACAGAAAACCAGGAAAACTTCCTTGACCAAAAACCCCTGAGCTTTATTGTGTAGGTCACTCCCAAAGTTACTCATGGAAATGACAACAAATACAAAGATACAGCTAATTCTCAGCTACAAAATAGTATTTTTGACACCATTAGCTATGCATTTTTACCAGTGATGAACAAGAGCCTGTAAAAGTCACAGAGGTGGTGACCACTGATGACACAATTAAAGCATATCACCCACTGCCTCACTGTGCTCATATCCGCTGTTTGGTCTCCATAAATGTTCAATGTTCAAAGATAAAAACTGCAGCAGTCAAGTATCAGGGATTCCTTTTTCACCAGCTATTCCCCGACGTTGCCAAAAAACACACCAGTTTGTCATGCACTTACCAAGTCTTTTGGGAAAATCTCTTCTGGGGTAGCACTGCGTTTGTTTATGAATATCTAGCAAATAAAGTTGCTATCACTATATTCTTCATAACTGTGTTATTGTTCTCCATTCACATTTATCAAGTCATGGAGACAATGTTTAGCTTCAGGTCTTGAAAACAGTACACTCGGCTTACAGATCTTTCTCCTCTATCAACCTGCCGTATGACACTCAGTGAATGACTATTTTGTACTTCTCTTGACACTTTTCAGAATTCAAACTTGAATTTTTGGCTAAGAGCTGTCTATCCACATATTTTTATAAGGCTTCTAATGCAAAGATGTCATGATCTCAGCTGAGATTTCTGGGCACAACTAACACAATAATAATAAAAACGACAAGGGAAAAAATCTTAAGAAAATCCTCTGCCATAAAGAAAATTGCATGGAAATTATAGACAAACAATCTATTCATAATTATTGCCATCACAACTGTTTTTAAAACACCAGAGAACTACACTCTTTGGTTCCTCCATTGTTTCACCATTTTAAATAGGACTCACTAAACTATTCATTTTTATTTCCTAAAAATTCTCATTTTATTTTGCCTGCTTTTGCTGTTCACTAATTTAAATTGACTTTGAATAGTATGTTGAACAATCCTATAGTAGTTTCTCTTTGCAATGCAAATTCACAACATGTTTTTTTTTCAGCACAAAGGAAAATAGTTTTTTGGTGGGTTCTCTTATATGCAAATGAAAAGTCAGAAAATGTACTGCAAAAATTCCAAGGGTAAGAATACTATGGGTGAGAATAGTATTATCATGTGAATAATTTACATCTGATTGCATTGCTTGGCTACATATAATACTATTGTGAATATTTTATAAAAATCAAAGATACATATGATCTTCATAGCAATGAGAAAGAACAATGCAAGTTTTACATCTCACATTTTACACCTTGCATCTATGAATACTGAATTATATCTATATTCTCTGTGCTATCAATAACATCACAAAAATAGCAACTTCGATAACCCCAGAAGTAAATGAAATAGCAAGAAAAAACATATCTGAAATCATCTAATTTCTCTGCAGCCTTGTTGAAGGCTTATTAAAAGTATCTTGCTTATTTCTTATCATTGCAATAATTCTTTCTGGTAATAAATATCTTCTATAACTCAAAACATATCTTTTAAGGAATGCTTTACAGATAATACATAATATGAAATACACTTCGTTATATTGTTTCATGCTTTATCTGATTAATTGTTAGTAGAACAATCCAGCTAGTGTAAGTCCTGGCATACTTGAACATAGAAGTTATAAACTACACTGTTTCCATTATAAATTAGATCTCAGGTTCAAAAAAGTTTGTAAAGCTGTTTTAAACTTTTTGGGTTTTTTTTTGTTTGTTTGTTTTTGTTTTTGTTTTTGTTTTTGTTCTCTTACAGGAATGTAAATGACTAAAATGAGATTCTTGTTGCACAGTACACAAATTTGGTAAGCTTCCTTTACATTTCCATCATTTTCATATGAATTTCAGTTAAATACCAGCACAACAAAGCACTGTTTTTTGGCTTTGAACCTTCAGTCCATAAAATGAAAATCTGAATCTTGAACTCTTATTTCATAGGGGATGCTGCTCTTATAGGCACAGTGGCTAATCCCACAATGTTGGAAACAATGGCAGCATTTACAGCTCTTCAGCGTTCTGATGCAGAGAGGAGCACAAGACCTGAAGCAATGGGCAACTGTCTAATTCAGCCTCTCAGTAATTCTCTGGCATTTCCTTGTGAACTACAGGTGAGAAGGGACCATTATGGTCTTATTGGTCCTCAGCTTCCAGTGCTGATTATAAATATAACCAATGACACTTCAGAGGAAAATGAAAAACCTCTCCGTGAAAAGACAGGATTTTGTCAATACACGAAATAGTTTGGGATATATATAGATACTTGAAGACTTAAGTTGTTAGAATGGACTATGAGAGCTCTTCACTTTATCAACAGACTAGTTATACAACAGATGTTCATCATAATGACTGATTTAAATTCATTAAGCCAAACTCTAACAATTCTGTTAGGAGGAGAAAGAAAAAAAAAAAGAAAAAGAAAAAAAATAAGCTCAAATAAAATAAATCTCTTTAAAGAATATAGAAGAAAATTACATTTGATGGTTTGAAGATATATTATAGTAAGATCTATACTTAGTTTCACATTCTAAAAATTCACCTTCAACAAGGTAAGCAACATTTCAAGGAGCTTCTACTTATTGATGTGCTTTTATCTTTGTTATTTTATTTCAATTGTAAATAAAACATTTGGGTCCTTTAAACAAATAATAATTAAAAAAAAGTGTAGACATTCTGAATGAACTAAATATTGCTCACAGTGACTTGAGGAACTATTGGGGCAGGAATACTGAATTGTTTTTGAAAAAAACTGAAATGTTTTCTGAAAATATCTAGACTACTCTGAAAGTAATAACTATTCAATTTCCATGGAAACTACAACAGACATAATGAGCACAAGTAACTATTTGACAGCGCGATAAACAAGAGTCTACATGCTATGCTCATAAAAATCTGCGCCAGCAGGGATGACCCAATGTTTCACAGCTGCTAATGGTGACACTGTTGGTAGGAAGATGTTACCCACACAGTCCACCTTTGATCAGCCCAAACAGATGGAAGTCAAAGGTCGTCAAATCTGGACTGTACTGTGGGTGTGGTGGGACTGTCCAGCCAAGACTGGCAATAT